TTCAAACTCATAAGTTCGACAATCCCATTGGCATCTACACAGTAATAGTGTACACGTAAAACGGTGAATATTCTTGTGTTCACTGGATGAATTTTGAAATTAAGTGGGTTCATTCAAAGGGAAATTCCAAATAATTAAGAGGGTGAAATTTATGAGCTTGTAATTATGATTTTGATTGAAATGTGCATATAGTTGCGTGCAAATATAGATCTACAGTTTATCTGTATTTAGACTGCTAAAACTATTCTAGTGAAAGTTACAGTCCAATGTTATTCCATTTCTAATGCCTCTTTAAGTTTCTCGGATATGAAAAGAATTTAAACAGTGAGTGTTTATCAGATAGGATTTTTAATCCTTTGCGTTTCTTATGAGACACAAGCACTGAAACTTGAATAGTAGTAGTGTTACTCTTTTGTGAAGTGGAGTCGCTAGCCGCACGCCCAGCCTTTTCTGTCTAAAGGGGCTTACTACCAACTAATCAAGGTTTGGGAGAATGTCGGCAGTGGACCGAACCCTGGATCGCGTTCGTGGTAGGCGCGCGTTCTATCGCTGAACCACCAACTCTACTCAGGTAGGTATTAAAGTATTATTAACCTAAGCTGATAGAGTTACTTCAAGTACTTTCACTTCAGCCAGGTATTGTAATTTGACCTTTGCTAATTGAAAATAATCGCTAGTCGAAATAATTCGGTATAGTCCAAAGTTGTAAATATCTAATTTCTCACCTCAAGAATGGACAGACATCAAAAGTGCCACTCCACTAGATAAAAAAACTCCATTTTTGAAATGTCAGTGAAGTCAGAGTTTTCTTCTAAGAAAAACATCCATGCACTTGAAGCAAAATACAGTTTAAAAAAATAATAATACTAGCTTTATTCTACACAAAATTTTTATATAATATACAGAATTTTGAGCCGAGTTTATTGCATATTATTTTCTTTTTATCCAGGATCTTGAAGTAAAATATCAATCTATGGTGTATCGTGTGACGTGATGCTGTTCGATCTACAAAATTAAATAAGTCCTGTTAGTATTTTTCTTCCGTCCCCGAAAAATGCACAGGATTAGGTTGTGAGCCAAATTAAAAATGTGTATGAGTACATCTGATGACCTACGGATATAAGTGAATAGTTAAAACAAAGAGATGTAGAGGAAATCTTAGGTAGTGTGTTGGATGGAAATTCAGGTAGCTCAGTGGTTTAAGCAGTTGACTGGCTGTCAGTTTATCTACAAAGGTTGATACGTGGAATTCATAAATTTCATGGTACCTTTTTATTTTGATCTCCTTCTGTCTCTACTTAATTATTTTTCATATTTTAATGAATAGATAACTAACTGCTTAAAGCTTCTTAAACTTTTACGCTGGAGATTCACGTCGGAATACTGATAAATGTTTTCTAGTTAACTACCGACTATTCAATATTTAGTGTTTATTGTGAGGTATGTTTAAGTGGTGAGGTGAACACAGTGGCTTCCGACTTATTTGACAGTAGTCGAAATTCTGCTGCCTGCTTAAAACTTCGGCTAGCAAAAGCCTCCATCATTATATTGCACATAATTTCTCTTATTCAGTTTGTTTAGACCTATTGTAGTGCTACTTCCAATAGTATTGTTTACTCTGGCTATTATTTGAAAACTTCATACAATTGTTCTCATTAATAAATTTCAATAAAGCAAGAACGACAAATGTACCAGGATAATCTGAGCATACGATTTTATTTTTATTATTTTGTGGAGTCTTCTCAACTGGTTGCAGCCTGAACAATATCAAAATTATAAATTAAATTAAAGATCTGAAGATACTTTTTTACAATGATAATGAGTAATTGATTGGAACTGAGAGTAACATTGGTCAAGAATGATGTAAGTTGTTGTATAATTAGGAGTGAAAAAGATCGACTATTTATAGAAGATTTCGATGGCTAAGCTTGAAAGCAAAATGACAGAATTCAACAGATGTTTTGTGGGTAGAAATAAATTTTAGCTAGAAATAGTACTAAAAGTAGTAGGTTACGTAACCACAAAACAACACTTTTTTTAATAAAATAGTTAAAAAGGGGGTAGTGTGAGTTTTGTTTAGACGAAAAAATCAAGGATTCTAAACAGGACAGAAGATTGCGTATTGAAATTTGTGTGCTTTGTAATCACCAAGGCAGTGCAAGATTCACCACTGTCTTTTTATGCGTACATAGATTTGCTTTCAGACATTTAATGGCGATTACCTCAGCGAAACGGAGCAAGTCAGGTTTATTTTCTCTGTTGATTATTTTGAACGCCTTCAGATTTTTCACAACATGGCCATTGTCTAGTAGAGGACATGTAATCGTTTTATGTTTTATGCTTGCGGACCCTTCTTTCCATATATGTGCTTTGGCATGTACATGTAAATTGGTAGACGCACTTGAAGGTAAAATGTATTAGGAGGTTGTCGTCGACATACCTGGTATAAAAGTCTCTCTAATCGATTGCGGCCTTCATCTACGTTTGTTCCAGGGTGCTCATAAAAATATGTGCCAGAACTGGAATCAGTCTAGTGGTTCCATGACTTTGGCGGTACAGAACATTGCAAAATTGAAACTGTATGTTTTTTAGTGCATATTAGCAGCAGTTGTCTGAGTTCATTCTTCAGTAGAGTAATGAGGTCAGCATGTCAACACATATTCTGTATTGTCTCTTTTATCGGGATCTTTGTAAACAGCGAAGAGATGCCAGATGACACCATGAATTTATTTGAGATATCTAAATTATCTAATTGTTTAGCGAACTGAAGGGTGTTTTTTAAGCTGAAATATTTACTACCTGCTGATTCGCATGTTTCTACTATACATGAAAAGAAACCCTATCCTCGATCGTAGCCTGTCCTAATACGTGAGATGACGGTTCCTTAGTGGTGTCCTTGGTTCACAAAATATACTCCTGATATTTTTATAATTGTCATTCAACAAAATGTCGTTTATTCCTTGAAGGAGAAAAGGAAGAGATATCACAATATGTTAGTCTGTCCTTCTGGTTAAGCAGAAATGTCTCACGATCCTCGGAGAAGAAAAAGTGTCATGCCCGCTGAAAATTCTGTAAACTGCATAAACACTGCTCAGAATAAAGCTATTACTGTTACTGTTATAGTCATATTATGAAATTCTTCGCTTTATTACTTCACACTTTGTATGATCTTTTGTTAAAAAACCAGCTCTCAGTATTTGATGTCACAACTAGTACCAGAACAATAGTCACATCGAATAGGCTCAACTTCTACGAAACTACACCTTTGCTACAGGATCTTGTATTCAATGTTATATATTTCAACAATAACAATTTATGAGCAATAAGATTTCTATAACAATCTATTTAGGTTCAAGTAAATAAATCTGTGACAGTTTTGAATATCTTTAAATTTAAAAAAAACCTTTCATTTATTCATCCCCAGAATTTAATATTTGTACTTGAATTTGGGAATTTGTAGAATCCCTTATAATTTATGATAACGTCAAGCCACAAAAATAGTTCCAGTCATAAGAAACTAGTGTAACACTGTCCGATACTCATGTCTACTATGTCCTGCCTATCGTGTATGATGTAGCAATGAAGACTCCTCACTACAGTGCACGTTTTTGACTATAAGTAATTTGAGACAGTCAGTAAAAAACCGTGGACCCAGGTTTTGCTCTTTTTTTTAATAAAAGAGCTTGTCAGACAGTACTTCAGTCATAGACGTAAAGCTGTAAGACCAAAAATTAATGTACATCTGATCAGACAAAAATTCATATTCGCCTTTTATCCGGGCACTGGATTGCAAATATACTCCATTAATTTCATCATTTTAGTAGTCTCAAAAATGAAGATGTCTGATGAGACATCCCTGTTGATTAGTAACAAGTTTTCCAAACAATAAAATATTTTTATACATGGCAATTTCTTATTAAGGCTGTATCATACAAGGTCTGTAGTTTCCTTATTTAGATTACTGTAGAGTGAATTGTCGAGATTATAACTGAGTTCTATCTCATATAAATGTAGTGAAAACGAAAGAAATATTTGCATTGAACGAATTCATATAAATTCTAAAATATCTCTTTCTTTTATCGCAAGAGGAAACTAATACTACTCGTGAAGAGTAATAAATTAAGGCTGATTTAGTAATAAAATGAGTGACATCTGCTCGCAGTCAAACTGTCTTTGGTACATTTCTGAATGCGACAATTAAAGTATCACCAGATGATAAATAAACGATTTTCTAGTGCTTCTTGTGTTTTACTTCATGAAGGAACTAATTGTTTCTTTAGACATCTTGACAGTTACGTCAGAGACTGCTCAGACGTAACAGTCTATTGGAATACAGCTTGATTCTCTGTAGTTCAATCTTTTTTGGTCTGAAACTGAATTAGTGAAAGTAACTCTGATAGTAAGATATAAACCTAAAATTATATAAACACTTGTCAACTTATATGAATTTATTTATTTTAACTATCATTGGAAAAAGGTGAATCCTAATTCTATTATTATTTAGCACTGTAGAACAAAGTCTGCGGCAGGATATATTTTCAACTGTTTCTAACGTCATTAGTTTGTCGGTGAAAAAAACGTGTGAAAATGAAAGACCAGAAAAGTATGCAGATTCGGTACTTCTTAACAGAGTTACCTTATCCCGGTTACTACAAAATTATTGGTTTAAACGAGTGAACATAATTTCAGTATATTGGAAATATTTAGAGCATTTTGATTGGTCAGTTAGCTGAGCAAAATAATCATTATCATTTGTCTTTAAACAACACTTCAGCAAGTGATAAATTTAACTTTTAAATTTACAAATTTTAATAAAAATATCATGTTGAAAAAATATATCTTAATTTTAATGTTTATCTCAATGATATATGTATATGTATATAAGTAATAATAAGATTAAAAGCCTAAGTAATGTTTCTTACATGTAATACTAATTGAATATCCGCATCACCGGTGTTTTTATTTATCACGTGTGAACATTGAAAACTGGACGGACTCGAATGTACAGGGAGTGGAATATTGGATTTATAATATGTAAACTGTGGATTATATTTATGTGGTTCAATGTGCAACAGTTTTATATTCATGTTTCTACGGAAAACATGGATTATAATAATAATAATCTAAAAAATATTCAAGAAGGAAATTTTGCACAATGGTATGAGGAACTAAAGAATTCAGGTTTGAAATATCCAGATTCTTTTTATTGTGAACCTTGGAGTACTAATATGAGTCAGGATTTAGACAGTGGATTACGAAGCTGTAGTGGTAAGATAATCTTATTTTTGAATTGTTAAATACTAATGAATAGATAAGCATACATTCCACTTTCATGCAGACAGAAGTAGAGAATATCGATTCTGTTTCATTCTTACTTTATGAACTCTTTCTACGACCATTCATAAGTTTTAACACAAAAGGTGTTCATACAAACGTCAATATTTATTTAACGAGTGACATGAATCAGCGAACTCATGAACGAAACAATATTTATTGATATTTGACTAATCACCTGTGTTGAGTGATTTAAATTCACGTGAAAAAATATTGGGTATTGAGTAACATAATGGTTGAAACAAAGCATTTTATCTAAATATGTAAACAATTGGGTTCTTTTAGACTGCGATGTCTGAGACTGCATTCACAACGCGTACTAATAGTATGAAATAGGAAAGAAACAGTATTGGTGCCACAGCGGTTAGGACGCTCGCCGATCATGCACATGATCCAAGGTTTGATCCCCGGCCGACTCACACCTGATGTCAGTAGTCGGCCTGCTAAATTTGGGCTACCGATGTCACATGCTGAAAATTCCATACACGTATCAAAATACTGTGTGGAATCAAAGCTATAATAAAAAAAATTGAGCGTTATACGGTCTACAGTCCACGAAAAAGTCTATCAGTAATTCATCTAAATCCCCACTACCTCAACTGTTTATACAAAATTGTTATTTATTTCAGGTCAAATAGAGTCCCTTGTGAAATTTTTTAAGTGACACTCATGAATGAACCTTATCACAAATGCTCACTATGGTATTGTAGTCGAAACTTTTAATTACAAGTTTGTTAAATATCATTATCTTGGTATGCTTGTGTTTTCCACGACACATTGTTGGACAATGCATGAAAATGACAGAGCAAGATCCAGTGAAATAAGGTTGCAGGAAGGTACTGGTGTGTTTTTAGTCAGCTGTAGTGCAAATATTAAAAACTAACTAAGAAACTGAATACCTAGTGCAATCATGTGTCAGTTATCTCCTCGAGACTAATCAGTTCACATTAGTTACTCGCTAGTAACCTTAACTATCAAGCTGCAAATAACCTTTTTCACACAAGTATAACTCTACTATAAATGCTTTCTAAAGTTATTATTATTAGAATTAGTACAACACTTAAAGAGCTTTGAATTATTTTCTTTTTATTTAGGTGATAAGAATTAATTTCGTTTTGTTTAGCATTAGACAAATTTTTCTAATCACGCTAAATAATGGTTTTCATGATTTTCTATGCTAAAATATACTCAAATCTTTCATGAATACCAGATTATGTAGATAAGCGAAAAATGTATGATTCTAATATCAAGCCAAAGATACACGGGACACATATCGTGCGATTTTTGTTCTTCATGTCAATATTATTATTATTATTATATTGTACCTAATAATTTTAATCCGAATAAAATTACGATGACATTAATCTTAGTACCTGGAAATTAGGTAAAATGCACTATGACTACTATTATTCTTCAAGAAGCGTTCAAATCCTTTAGTATTATATAAGCTTCAATTCTCTAGTTACTTAATAAATGACGAAATATTATTTAAAACGTCGTTCAGAAGCTATATTCGAAAGTATGGATAAAACTATTCAGACACCATGTTAAAAGTTGTCACATTCAATGAAATAAAGTTCTTGAAATAAGATGGTTGGAGGCAATCGGCAGAAAGCGATCTCCAATGCAGTCCTACAGGAAATCAACTAACAGTCTGAATAGCTCAATGGTAACGTCTCTGACTGCAACACTAGGTGATGCAGGTTCGAATCTCAGAAGGGACATGAATTCCCTCAAGGTGACACAAACGCCTTTCCGACCTGTGACTGACAACAAGCAAGAAACCTATGTCGAAAATGGCTTCCTCTCGATTACCTCCAACCATCGAATACCAACAATTCAAAGTGAACCGTGATGGTAAACCACCTAGAATGGTGGCCACAATGTCAACTTGACTGATAGAATTCAGTCTGCAGCAAAAATAGAACTAGACACATTACACTAATTACTAACTAGTGTCCAACCTAAATGTAGTTCTATCGATGTGATAATATGTTACCTACTGAAGTCGTTTTTAATTAGATTGATAACAAATACATGCTAGACAGTTTTAAAACGTATTACAATATTTGCATGACATTGTATATGACTGGTTAGTTGAGATGAGTAGTTGTATATCCTTCAGATTAAACAATAATGCTTGCTAGCCAGATCAAAATGATTTAAACACTGGATGTTCTTTTCGCTTGTTTGGGTTGCGCTCATATGGGTGTACCCTGTTTGACTCGGCCGAGAGAGCCGAATCCCGTCAAACCATAAGATTTCTGGCTAGCTAATTGAGCCTGCTTACGATATCATAAATCTCATTTGCAATTTACACAGTTCCACATAGTAAGATTTCACCACATTTTACCGTAAATTCCTAAATTATTCAGATCATCTAGGGCTGTGTAAATTGAGAATTCATTTGTGAATAGGGAATTCGATTTATTACAATATTTTTACATCAGCAAACTACTAAAACTCAAGATGGAGCAGTACAACTTTATTGTCAGAAGACTACTTACCATTTGACAGCTAGTCATTTTCTGTCATCAGCAATTACATATTATTCGTTATTTTTTAGTTTAAGAAGCCTTAAAATATTCTTTGAAAAAGTGCAAGTTTCACATTTTTTTCACTTTATGATTAAATTACTTTTGACATGAAATCCAGAGTTAGAAAAATTATTATGTTGGTTCACTTATAATAACGTAGACTAGACAGAGTTTTTATTCTGATGAAAAACTAACTTATACGCTTACGTAATTTAGATATGATAGAGAAGTATGCGCTGAAGATGTCGCCTAGTAGGGCTATGAAAACTTCGCAAATTAACTATCCAGCTCAGAGAACACAGCCATATCAAAACGCTTACGTAATTATTTATCAAAGAAGTCAGTTTCTGGATGGCGGTACAAAACATATTCAGAAGGGTGCTTGTATGAAAAAATGAAAGCCGTTATATTGCATACAGGAATGTGTAGAATGCACACACGATAAGCTTCCTAGACTTAAGGATCAAAAATAGATGATATAGTTGAATGTGAGTTAAAAGTATTATGAAAATACGAAACGTAATATGATTGCATAGTCAGCTAAGAACTTCGGGAGAACATTACTGCAGTTCAGTGCATACGAAACAGTCGGAACTTTACAGAAAGATATTATTCAGTCATAATGATTACAGTTTTTGGCTGAGAACATGCAAATACATTCACACTGCTGGAGTCAGCTAATGGGTGCCAATGATAATCAAATCTACTAAGACGTAAACAAATTTCATTATGATGCCAGCTGACAAGATTAAATATCTACTTATAACTAATGGAGGGATAAGGTTAAAGAAAATTACTGCAGTCTTACAGAAATTATAAATATATTTATATGCAAATTAACAGCCGATTGGATACTGTTAATTAGGAAGTGGAGACTATCTAAAAAATGTGATTTATTTGCGCAATACATTTCGAACAATCTGATCAAATGTTTACCTGTCAAATCAATTTATATGAAAAATAAAAAGCCAATTTAAATCAACAGAATATTATGGATTTTGGAATAGGAATAGTTAATTTCCAAGAGTTAGTTTGTATGGATTTGATTTGTTTCAAGCTTAACGATGGGTCGATATCAGTAAGAGGAGCACGGAAAACAAGGGAGTATAGGGCAGCTGTTTCGTCCAAGTTTCTCAACTCATTATCAGTACGCACGCTCTGGGTTTCTAATACAGGGCCTTCCCGCTACAAGGCGAGCTCGTAGACTATTAAGCCTCTTGGACCTGACTCAATGGTTCATGAATTCTAACTCCTACCAGTTCGTGATTTTTAGCGCGACCATCAGCCAGTGTCATCGATGAATATTTGTCCTGACTTCAGACTGGGTGGATTCCACTGAACATGAATTCGCGATAAGTGCCGCGAATTGGTAGAGGATAGAATTCATGAGCTAGCCATTGAATCATGTCACAGTTGTTGAATGGTATATGAACTTGCCTTGTAACCGAAAGGTCCTATATCCAAATCCTGCCGGTCGCGTACTGTCGACGAAACATCTGTTTTCAATGGTTTTCTAACTAACATCAATCCGTGGCCAAACTCAAAACAAGAATAATTGACATTACGTTTGGTTATCGTATCAGCTAATGGTTGCTAAGGTAAGGGGGGAGGGTCTTAAGTTTGTGAATAGCAAACGCCTCAGCGTATTTCACTAATCGTCCTTCACCATTTTTATCGGTGACCTTAAAAGCTGTGTTAGCACCAATCTTGTGCTTCGCATCGATTAGATGTTTGGCTGCAGACAAAGTTGGTAATCTGCCACCGTTCTTCGAGGTTTCACAGTTCACCTATTATTCTAACTGTTTGCGTATATGTTCTCCTACCCTCATATACAACGTGTGATTACTCCTCCCTATGTATGTGAAACCAGGCATCCATGTAAATTAGAATATAGCGTCGAATGTGACGTCATAACTTGTGTAATGTAGTAGAGCATATTTTTGCCTTTTTCAATGAGTATAAGCTGCATAGTAGGCTTTGCCGATTAAAAGAAGAGAATTGTTCTGACGTAAATGGATGATAAAAGGCGTTTTCTATTTCATAACTCCTAAGAATCCCATGACAGCATTCATAGGAGTTAAAGTATAATCAGTAAGTTGTTTATATAGGATTTGTATTAATACTTAAACAAGCTGATTGAACATCACTTTAATTAACCTTAATATAACAGCATACTGAGATATTTTAACTTGTAATGTTGATTTTGCTGAATCACTTCCATTATTTATATTGTTACCTTCAATTTACATGAAATAAATTTATACATTATATTTTTCAGAAATACTTTATTTTGTATTAGTGATCAAAAGCTATTTGAAAGTCGTTAAAATTGTAGTTTTCAAATCAAACATCAAAAAATTGAAAAATCTACCTACTGCCTAATCATAACTGGTCTCA